AGGTGGAGGTGGCGGAGGAGGTGCTGCTGCCCGCAAGGCGCTGACGCTTCAGGAGCGCGAGGGTGAGAGGAGGGGTGGGCTGGGGGGCTGGGTGGGAGGGCATGCCGACCAATAGCGCCATTGCTTCAGAATTTTGCATTCTGGTGTACCACCCCCACGTGTGGCAATCCAGCCTACATGTCTATCCAACTACCCAACTGTCCAACTAACTGCTACAGCTATACTTGCACACGTTCATTCCCCCCCCTCTCCCCCGCTCGCCCCTTTTCTCTAACACCTTCCACTCCCTTCCCCCCATGCCTGCGCTCTCTCACTCTCTCTCTCTCTGTGCTGTGCTGTGCTGTGCTGTGCTGTGCTGTGCTGTGCTGTGCTGTCCCCCCAGAGATGCTCCGAAGGCGATTCATGAAGACGGTCCGGGTTGGCAACGGCCGCAGCAAACGAAGCGGCCAGGCCGGCCAGGCTGCTGGCAACGACGGCGGCGGCGGCCGCGGTGGCTTGCGGCTCAATGCCGCTCAGGAAGCCCTCTTGCTGTCGTTGTTTGAGCGGCACAACGCCTCGAAGCACAACGCTGATCTCATTTTGGAGGGCATGAAGCGGGGGGCAGGCGAGAAGGAGGCGGCGGGTGAGGCGGCGGGTGCCGGCGGTGTGGAGATGAGCCTGGGTCAGCTGATGCGGCAGCTGAAGAAGATGGGGCTGAGGTTCAAACAGCTAACGGAGAACCAGGTGCGGGTGCGGGTATGGGTATGGGTACGAGGGGTGTGGGGTATGTATGTCAGTATGTATGTGTCATTGGGAGGGGGATGAGGGTGGAAGGGGTTGGGGAACGTTTGTGTGTATATAGTATGTATGTATGTATGTATGTAGGCAGGTAGGTAGGTATGCATGTATGTATATATGTGGGTATCTAGGTATTTAGGTATGCGTGTGTTTCGGGGGTAGGGTTGGAGGAGTAAGGAGTCGGATAATCAAATTCCTGGTACCTCCGCCACCACCATCATATGCTGCAAATCCGCCTTTCCCCCCCTTTCCCAGCGGCCCATGGACAAACTGCCACCCCCTCCCCCTCCCCCTCTAACACACCAGGTCGTTCCCCAAATCCCAACCAAACCCACCACCCCACTTCCTCCCCCGTCTACCGCCACATACCACCCCTCCGCGGCGTACCCCCCTTCTCGGCCCCCCCCCCGCACAAACATACATACATACACCCTCCGGTCAGATCTCCCGCCTGAGCTCCCTCCACTCGCGGTATCGTACCGACCCGGACTGCCATCTGATGATCGCCGCACAACTACCTGGCGGTTGGACGAGCAAGGATATCAAGAGGTTGCTGGTCAAACATGGAATGGAACAGGGTGGGTCAGGAGGGGGGGTGGAGGGGGGTTGTTTTTCCTGAATCTGGCCTCGAATCTGGATCTGAAAGATCTGAATCTGAACCTCGACCTGATGTGGATCTAAACCTGGTCCTCCGGCCAGAGTTCCCCATCTAAAGCCCGTCCCACGCCTTCATTAACCCAACCTTCTCAAACCACTGCTACTGCTGCTGCTGCTACTGCCACTCCCCATTTCCCAGACATTGACCCTCACCTGCGGGGTGTGTGGTCCTTATGTTAAAACACACACAGCCACGACACGGGGCACCCCTACCCCACCCCAAATGCACCGCACATCACTTGACTTATGCATGCTTTGCATGTTGTCATCATCATCACCATCATCATCATCATCATCATCATTACCATCATTACCATCACAACTCCCCCCCTGGATTGTGCCGTACGCACCTGATGCCCCAGTTCGCCGCCGGGGCACCCGTCGCGAAGAGGTCTCAGGCTCAGAGGCAGGCAGTGACAGTGACAGCGGTGGCGGTGAGGACGGCGAAGACGACCCCGACGTAGCTGCTCTGGACGAGGAGGAGCTGGGGGTGCTGTGGGAGGAACACGGAGGCTCTCCGGATGCGGCGGCGAAGGTGTGTATGTATGTATGTGTGTCGGATGCAAGGGGGCAGAGTTGTGTGTATGTATGTGTGTGAACTACGTATGTATGTATGTATGTGTGTGTGTCTCTCTATGGGATATGGAGGGGAGGGGGCCCGGGTGAATCCTCGCCACTCCCACCCAGTCTCCCCCTTTTCTTCCTTCCCCCCTACACACACAACTTCTGCGTCAGTAGGGCCCTATGACCCACGCCATTAATCCGTGTCAAAAAACACACCTTCCCGTACTCCCGCCCCTCAGTTTCCCCCTTCCCCCCACCCGCCATCACCCGCTTCAGATTGCCGCGGCTCTGATCAGTCCTGTTCCTGCCGCGGCGGTGACGAAGAAGCTCCGACAAATGGGGCTTATGAAGCGCGACAAGCAGAAGCGGCGGAAAGGGGCAGGGAGGGAGGGTGGGGAAGAGAAGAGGAGGGGGAGCAGGAGGGGAGGTGGAGGGGAGGTGGATGTGGCGGCTTTGCGGAGGCTATACGAGGAACATAAGGCCCGACCCGACCACCTGAATGTGATTGCGGCGTTTCTGCCCGGAGGCAAGACCGTCAAGCAGGTGTGTATGTATGTATGCATGTACGTACGTACGTATGTGCCTTCCCCACCTGTTGAGGGCCGGGGATGGGAGGGCGTTGCGAGTAAGAATGTGCATCTTTGTATTTTGTATTTTAATATTTTTTTGTGTGCTTTGTGTTGGCGCCGGGTAACGTCCTGCACTGTACTACCGTCGGCTTGCTTCAAAACATGACGCAGAGAAAAACAATCAATCGATGAATTAGACAGACACAACCCCCGCCCGCCCCCACTCACCCACGAACCCCCCGGCCCCCCCCCCAAACACACACGCACATCCCTCCCCCTCAGGTCCAGCGGCTGCTCCGGGCTCACGGCCTGCTGGACGACGAGTCGATTCGTCGCAAGCGGGCCCGCGACGCCGCCGAGCGCACCCGCCTGGTGGCCCTTTACCAACAGACCCGTGGGTCGGCGGGGGATCAGCTAGAAGCCATGGCGCGCCTCATGCCCGATCTGGCGGGGGGGCCCCGGCAGGTGGCCAAGTTGCTGCGGAAGCACGGGCTGACGGCGGCCCCGGAGGGGGCGGGGCGGGGGAGGGGGAGGGGAAAGGGGGGAAGTGGCGGCGGGGAGGAAGAGGAGCTGCATCAGCAGGGTGAAGATGAAGAGGGGGAGAGGAGAGGAAAGGGCCCGAGGGCGGCTGGTGGCGGCAGCGGCGGCGCAGAGGAGCATTCTGGCGGTAAGAGCGTGTGTGCGTGTGCGTGAGTGGGGAGAGGGAGTGCTGAGGGTACGACGAAGCGCAGGGATTGACAAAATCAAAATACCGAAGTCGGGGTGCTGGGGGGTCCTTTTGTACGCCGTCACACCTGTTGTTGTTGTTGTTGGGGGGGGGGGGGGGGCCGGGAAGTCACCGACCACATCCCGAGCTCTACCGGCGGGTGAAGTCGCAGTCCAGGAGTGATGTAAGGGGTGGGGGGTGGGGGGGGCGGGAAGTCACCGACCACATCCCGAGCTCTACCGGCGGGTGGAGTCGCAGGGGTCCAGGGGTGATGTAAGGGGTGGGGGGGGGGGGGGCCGGGAAGTCACCGACCACATCCCGAGCTCTACCGGCGGGTGAAGTCGCAGTCCAGGAGTGATGTAAGGGGTGGGGGGTGGGGGGGCCGGGAAGTCACCGACCACATCCCGAGCTCTACCGGCGGGTGAAGTCGCAGTCCAGGAGTGATGTAAGGGGTGGGGGGGGGGCGGGAAGTCACCGACCACATCCCGAGCTCTACCGGCGGGTGGAGTCGCAGGGGTCCAGGGGTGATGTAAGGGGTGGGGGGGGGAGATAGCTGTGCATTTCCTCAACAACAACAAGGGTGGGTGTGTCGATGTACGTGGGGGAACAGTGACAGATGACATTGCATGCGTGTGTGTGTGTGTGCGTGCGTGTATGTATGTGTATGTGTAGTAATCAAAACCCTAAAATCCCGCCTTCCACCCCACTTGTTCGCAAATGCAACTCCCCTTCCGGCGACCTCCTCCAGGAGGGGCTAGATCCACCAAAGTACGGGAGCCGGATCCAGATCGGATCCTGCAGGCACTGGCCGGGATCCAGGATGCGTACGACGCTGACGGTCGCTGGATGAGCCCACATGCCGCTGCGGCCTGGGTGACTAAGCAGCTCACCGCCGCCGAGTCGTTGTGGCAGTTGGCGGGTGGCGCCACGTCGGACTACTGTCTGGTGCTGACGTGTGACGAGGATGAGGACTTCTTCATGACGGAATACGCGCATGAGTAAGTATGTATGTATGTATGTTACATGTGTATATGTGTGTGAAGGGGGTTGAGGGGGATTGCGGGGAGCTGGCCGGTAAGGGGTGAGCGAAAGAGGTGCATTGGTCCCGGAGCCGGGTGGCGTGGATTCAGTCACTACCTTCACTACCTAGCCGGTGTCTCTCCATCCACCCACCCAGCCGGCCCTCATCTAGTCCCCACTTCCTGCACCCCCAATACACACACACACACACACACACGATTCCCCACATCCCACATCTCCCATATCCCAACCCAGCCCTCAATCACCTAAACAACAACCCATCCCCCCCACACCTCAAACCCCTCTCCCCTCTCCCCTCTTCCCCCGGTAAGCCTCCTGGACGCGTGTGGCATCCGCAACTCCGCCGAGGACTACTACAAGATTCCCTCCGCCAGCTCCCCGGCTTGGCGGCAGAGGCTGCGGGGGGCACTGGGGGAGGCGCTAGCGCAGCTGGGCGGGGAGCGGGCGCGGGAGCTGGCGGCGCAGTTGCGGCAGCGGCGGGCGGAGGAGGAGGAGG